TCTTGTGTCGGCGGCCTATCTTTATGGTGTATGGGCCAAAGCAGTCGACACCAGTGGACCAGTATGGTGGTTTGTTTATGCGTAGCCGTGCAGCGGGTAAGTCTGCCATCTTAGGAATGACGGGTTTGTTCCGCCACTTGCGGCACTCAACGCAGGCATATTGATGTTTCTTGACTGCTTGCCGTCCGCGAAGTATCCAGTAGGTTCTCCTTAGCTCTGCGAATACACGATCGGGACCTGCGTGCAGCAAACGTTTGTCGTAGTCCTGTATAATCAGCTTGGTGACAGGGTGGTCTGGAGCCAGGATTATAGGATGTATGGTGTCCTCTTTCAGGTATTTCTCTGCCTTCCGGAGACGGCCTTCCACTCTGATTAGTCCTACAGCCTGGTCGTATACAGGAGAGAGTAGCAGCAGGCGACCACTAGGGCTGAGTTGTTTCCCTGATTGTAGTGCGGTCGTTTCTGCAGGGAAGGATTCTTGCTGTGCTCTTTTAAGCAGGACAACCTGTGTCTCTAGTCGGCTGGATGCAGTCATGCGTGGAGCAGCCGCCCCGTGCATGGATTGGTAGGTGACTTCAAGTAGTTCAGACCATGATTTGAAGAGTGTTAGATCTGGAGCCACAGGCTCGGCTGTTGCAATGTTGCCGCAGAAAGTGGTGTTGCGCGTCTCCTCTGTGTGTGCAGAACTAACCACGAGGTTAGCTGGCCAGTCGGCTGGAGGCAGTTGAAGGAAATTCGGGCCAGATGTCCAGCGATCGGGCTTAGCTAAGTCCAGTAGATGCTTTCCCCTTGTAATGTCGTCAGCGGGGTTCTCTTCAGAGGGGACGTATCTCCAGCTGTAGGTTCCGACGAGCTCCTGGATTTCCGCTATCCTTGTCCCTACGAACACTTTGTATTGCTGGGAGTCAGACTGAATCCAGTGGAGGACTGTAGTGGAATCTGACCACAGGATTGTTTTGTGTATTGACAGTGTCAGCTCGGTATGCAGCAGCTTGGCCAACTGTGCTCCAGTCAGGGCCGCACACAGCTCTAAGCGGGGTATTGAGAGCTGTTTCTTCAGGGCTACACGTGACCTTGCCATCACGAATGACACCTGCACTCTACCTCTGTCGTCTTCAAACCTCAGGTAGGCGACGGAGCCGTATGCTCTCTCAGAGGCGTCAGAGAAGATGTGTAGGTCGGCGGAGGTAATGTCGGGAACATCCGAAGTGTAGCACCGTGGCAGGCTGATTTTCTGGAGATTTGGCAGCTCTCTTTCCCAGGCTTGCCACACAGGGAGAAGTTCATCTGTCAGTGGTGCATCCCATCCACTTTCCTTCTTCCAGAGGGCTTGAACTATGACCTTGGCCCGTGTGGTAAAGGGGATGATGTAGCCGAGAGGGTCATATTGGCTAGCCAGTACTCGGTACACGTACCTCAAGGTGGGTTCAGCTGAAGGAATAGCACGGTGCTTGTATCCCAGTGTGTCGGTACTACAGCACCACAGGAGACCGAGCGCAGACTCTTGGGGGTCGGTCTTATTAGCGTTTAGCCATAGCTCACACTCTGATTTGGCTTCTGTAGGGATGTGTGAGATAACGTCAGGCATGTTGCTGGCCCACTGTCTTATTTCGAAGCCTCCGCTGGCAAGGACTGATCTCAGCTTGTCAATGAGGTTTCTGGCCTGGTCCTGGGACTGCAGAAACTGGAGACAGTTATCCACATAGAATGAGTGCATCACAGATTTAACTACCTCTTCATTGTCTTTGCTGTGGTCGTTCACGTGGCGCTGCAGGGCGTATGTGATCGAGCTGGTGTCTTATTTCTCTTTTCTTTAGTTTTCTAGGCCCGTATGCTATAATCATGTGTATTTTCTCTATTCCTGTTCATGTGTCTTCTCGCAATTATCACTGGCCCTGTGTATCTCCTAATCGATATAACCGGCCTGCTCTCGTCTATCCCACGTGCTCCACTGAGATCCAACATCTAGTTTCTGGTGGCCTGTGGAATTGCCAGTCAGCTGTTCCTAAGGCTGACTTCATCTCTGACTACGCCTCCCTAAAGTCTCTGGATTTCCTTGCTCTCACTGAGACCTGGATTACTCCATCCAACACATCCACCCCAGCAGCTCTCTCCACTGCATATTCCTTCTCCCATACACCCAGACCCACTGGCAGAGGAGGTGGCACTGGTCTCCTGCTCTCTCCCAAATGGAGCTTTTCCCTCTTCAAGCTACCTAACTTCACTCCTTCCACCTTTGAATTCCATGCCGTCACAGTAACCCATCCTATACAGTTAACCATTGTTGTTCTCTACCGTCCACCAGGCGCCTTGGGGGACTTCTTGGAGGAATTAGATAATCTCCTCTCACTCATCCCTGAAACTGGCCCTCCCGCTGTACTTCTCGGAGACTTCAACCTCCAGACGGGGAAGATAGACGAACTAACATCTCTGTTAACCGCCTTTGCTTTCTCACTGTCTCCGTCCCCACCGACTCATAAAGCTGGCAATGTCCTTGATCTCATATTCTCAAGGAACTGCGCTACTTCTAACCTCTCTGTAAACCCGCTCCACACATCCGATCACTTCTTCATTTCATTCTCTCTATCCCTTTCCAAACATAACAAACTAATCTCTTCTCATCCTGCACTTGTCCGCCGTAACCTTCGCTCCCTCTCCCCCTCTAGCTTTGCCTCGTCGGTGCTCTCAGCCCTCCCTTCCGCTGATTCGTTCCATCTCCTGCCTCCAAACTCTGCTGCAGAAACTCTCCTCTCTACTCTCTCATCCACTCTGGACTCGCTCTGTCCTCTCACATCTCGGCAGGCTCGTCAGTCCCCTCCTGCTCCCTGGCTAAATGATGCACTGTGTGCTAATAGAACCGTCCTTAGGGCAGCAGAGGGGAAATGGTGGAAATCCAAACACCGTGACAACCTCCTAACCTATCAGGCTCTCCTCTCCTCTTTCTCTGCTTCGATCTCTCAGGCAAAAAGCACTTTCTTTCAAGATAAGATCCAATCTTCCTATTCCAATCCTAAAAAACTATTTTCCATCTTCTCCACCCTCTTGGACCCTCCAAAAGCTCCTCCCCCCTCCTCACTTCTGTCAAGCGACTTTGTTACCCACTTTGAAAAAAAGGTTGATGATATTCGCTCTTCTTTTTCTGACTCACCTTTACTCACCGCTGGGTCACCAGACCCTCCTTCCACCAACACACTTACCTCCTTTTCCCCTCTCTCTCCAAGTGAGGTTCTTACCCTCATTACCTCTGCCCGCCCTACCACCTATCCTCTGGACCCTATCCCTTCAAACCTCCTTCAGACTATCGCTCCTGATATTCTACCGTTTCTCACCCATTTCATCAACACTTCTCTAACTTCTGGTCACTTTCCAAACAGTCTCAATGAGGCAAGAGTAAACCCTCTCCTAAAGAAACCCACTCTCAACCCGTCTGATGTTATAAACTACAGGCCTGTCTCTCTCCTCCCGTTCCTGTCTAAATCACTTGAACGCGCTGTCTTTAAACAACTCTCCTGTTATCTCAATCAGAACAACCTTCTGGATCCGCACCAGTCTGGTTTCAAGGCAGGTCACTCCACATAAACTGCTCTCATTGCTGTCACGGAGGAACTGCACACTGCCAAAACTGCATCCCTCTCCTCTGTCATCATCCTGTTGGACCTGTCTGCTGCATTCGACACGGTGAATCATCAGATCCTCCTTCGCACTCTCCAAAAACTTGGAGTTTCAGGCTCTGCACTTTCCCTCCTCACCTCATACCTGAAAGACCGTACCTACAGGGTGACTTGGAGAGGGTCTGAGTCCGACCCTTGTCAATTAACTACGGGGGTCCCTCAGGGCTCTGTTCTTGGTCCCCTCCTCTTCTCCCTGTACACAAACTCGCTCGGATCAGTCATTAGCCCGCATGGTTTTTCTTACCACTGCTACGCTGATGACACCCAATTAATTCTGTCCGTTCCCCGCTCAGAGACCCAGGTCGTTGCACGCATCTCTGCTTGTCTAGCTGACATCTCTCAGTGGATGTCTGCTCACCACCTCAAGCTCAACCTTGACAAGACTGAGCTGCTCTTCCTCCCGGGAAAAGATTGTCCCACTCTTGACCTAACAATCAACATCGGCACCTCAGTTGTTTCCCCGACTCAGACTGCAAGGAATCTGGGTGTGACCCTAGATAACAACCTGTCCTTCACTGCAAACATCGCTGCTACAACCCGTTGCTGCAGATACACGCTTTACAACATCAGGAAGATACGTCCCCAGCTGACTCAGAAAGCGACTCAGGTTCTGGTCCAGGCTCTCGTCATCTCACGCCTAGACTACTGCAACTCCCTCCTGGCTGGTCTACCTGCATGTGCCATCCGACCTCTGCAGCTCATCCAGAATGCAGCGGCTCGTCTGGTCTTCAACCTTCCTAAATTCTCCCACACCACTCCGCTCCTCCGCTCCCTTCACTGGCTTCCGGTAACTGCTAGAATCCACTTCAAGACACTGGTACTTGCTTACCATGCTGCGAATGGATCTGGCCCTTCCTACATCCAGGACATGGTTAAACCGTACACCCCAGCGCGTGCACTACGCTCTGCATCAGCCAAACGACTCGTTGCGCCCTCGCTGTGAGGGGGACCCAAGTTCCCATCGGCGAAAACACGTGGGTTTGCTGTCCTGGCTCCAAGATGGTGGAATGAGCTCCCCATTGACATCAGGACGGCAGATAGCTTGCACATCTTCCGGCGCAAACTGAAAACTCATCTCTTTCGACTCCACTTCGAGCGTTAGAACTATTAACGAAGCACTTATATACTAATAAAGGGCTGGCTTACCTAAAGCCAGTTGAGTAGCACTTGAAATGTTTGGCTCTATGAAACCTGATGTACTTATATGATTCTGTTTTCTTCAAGGTTGTGTCTTCCTGGTCGAATGTACTTATTGTAAGTCGCTTTGGATAAAAGCGTCAGCTAAATGCAATGTAATGTAATGTAATGTATGTAGCACAGCATGGGCTACAGGTGGTCCCGAAGGGCAGTACGCGCCACTCGTAGACATCTGGACTGCGATCTGTCTCCCTGTCTCGCCACAGGAAGCGGAGCAGTGGTTGGTCTTCAGGGAGGAGACGCACTTGATGAAACATGCCACGTATGTCTCCGCTGATGGCCACAGAATACTCTCTAAACCTCAGCAGCACGCCAAGCAGCGCTGAGCCCAGGATCGGTCCACGAAGCAGATTGTCATTAAGAGAGGCTTGTTGGTAATTAAAGGAGCAGTTGAAGACGACTGTGTTTACCATTGTGTTGTACAAGATGGTGGGGGATAAACCATGACTCCTTGGAGTTGCTCACCTCTTCAGAGCTAATCTTCACTGCATAACCAGCCTTTTCCAGCTTATGGATCTCCTCATTGTAGACTGTTGATAGCTTAGGGTTGATAGACAGACGGCGTTCTGTAGCTCTTAGAAGAGCCATTGTTGCAGTAGGAGGTACATGCAGAGAGGGGGCACTTTGCTTACGCAGTAGTGGAGTGGCGTAGCGAGACACATCGTCAACTTTGACACGTACAGTCTTGTCCTCCAGTAGTTCAATGGCTGCTTTATCCTCACCAGAGCGGGTCACTTCATTGATGCTCCTGAAGGGGAGTGTGTCGAGCTGCCATTGTTTCTCCACGTTCTGATGCAGCTCCTCTGAAGGGGAGAGGAAGGATGAATGGAGACAGTTGCTCTCACCTGCTGACTGCTGATGGAAGCTGGCTGGTCCCTGTATAGTCCATCCGAGTGCCGTGCATACAGCCACTGGGCAGCCTGTTGGGCCTGTGCGCACAGGCTGTTTGGGGATGATCAGATGTGTGTTATCTGACCCGATGAGCAGCATGGGCTTGACCTTATTAAAGGACGGCAGTGGGATGTCCCTAAGATGTTTGTATGTTTGCTTCAGGGACTCAGCTGCACGTGACTGCTCTGCCAGATTCAGCTCGGCAGCTGTAAAGGCCTGACTGATATTGTGTTTCACACCTTTCTTCGTCATGGCTGACACTTTGAATGACACAGTAGCTCCTTTCACCTGCACTATCTCTTGCCTAATTGTCCTGAGGGATATTACCTCTTCCTGTCCGAGGAGGCCGAGATGGCGGGCAGCAGCTGGTAGTATGATAGTTCTTTCAGAGCCATCATCCAGTACAGTGTACGTATCCAGGGTTTTCTTTCCATTCTGTAGTCGGACAGGGACAACCTTAAGCATTACTTTGCCTGACCGGCTCACTTGGTTTGTGAAGACCACACTGGAGGAAGCAGTTACAGTCAATACAGTCAGTGTGAGGGCCACATCGTGCAGTATGATAAGATGTTGTTGTCCACAGGTTGCACATGGTTTCTTTAAGGTGCAGTTTTCAGGCGTGTGGCCTCTCCCACACCTCCAGCATTTCCTGTTATCCTTTATCCAGCTTGCCTTTTCAGTGTTAGTGAGTTTAGCAAAGTCGGCACAGGCGTTGAGGTAGTGCTCCTGGTTCTTACAATAAGGGCAGAAGGGCTTAAAACGTTCACGTTTATTTAGCTGGGCAGGAGTGCTAGCAGCAGGTGATGGATTCGAGTGTTGGGCTCCCTGCTGGCTACCAAGCAGTATAGTAGCAGGTCTGACTCTCTGTGGCTTAGCCACTCTTCGCTCCTTACTGTCTGTGTGTGCAGGCTCTGGACATGTGACAGTTATTCGACGTGACACCTGTAATGTCTGGACTTTCCTCTCGAGCCACGCAGCTAGGTCAGGGAGAGTATATGTGAGGTTACTACCGCTCTGGATGATTCCTCTGTTGAAGCAGTATTCCACGAACGAGTCTCTGAAGTGAGGAGGGAGTTTGCTGAGTAAGGTGTCAACATGAGACCCACATCTCAGCTCGGATGATGAGGGGCCTTCCATGGTGTTTAGCATTCCCACCAGAGTGCCAACTGATGCTGCAAAGTCTTCAAACGCTTGATAATCACCAGTTTTCACTGCTGGAGCGTTCAATATGGCTTTAAGCTCTCCCTGCACCAGTTGTCTTGGCTGGCCATAGCGTTGGGTCAGGGTTTGCATGGCACTTGTGTATGGAGTTGGGCTGTTGATGTACCTCTTAGCTACCTGGAGTGCAGATGGAAAGGTGAGGTGATCGAGGAGTATTTGGTATTTATAATCCTCGGACAGGTGTTGGTGAGGGCCATGCACGCTGTCCAATCCCTTTTTGAGCATAAGAAAGTCAGTTTATTTTCCTGAGCTGAAGATGGTTAATCTTGGCTTTGGGATGCCATATGATGATGCAATCGCCATCTCCATCATACTGGGTATGTTAGGATTAGCTGTAGGCCAGGCCGGTGCAGGAGGCTGCATCATGTAGGAGTGATGTACTCGAGTGGATGCAGCATACTGCATAGGCTGATATGGCTGTGGAGCCGTCTGCCAGTACCGGTGATGTGGATTATATGGCTGTTCCGATGGAGCTGGCGCAGACTGCGGGTATGCAACAGGAGCAGGAATAACACCTGGATGTATTAGCAAGGCAGGAGGTTCAGGCTGTACTACAGCAGGAGAAGTGACAGGTGACGCAGGCTGCATCAGCGAAGCAGTGGGTGCAGAATGCGTGTCTGTTGCAGAAGCTCTTGGAGCCATAGGAGGTGCAGGCTGCATCTGTTCAGCAGAAGTAACCGGCGCCGCGGGGGAAATCTGCTGTGTCTGCGGTGCAGGAGTATTAGCCTGTGATTGAGGTGGAGACGTTGAAGGAGACGTTTGGGGAGGAGCAGGATGAGCTTGAGGATATGAGAGTAAACCTGTTTCTTCCATACGTTGGTTCGTGGGAGAACACAGCTCCAGTTGAGGGAGGCTGCTATAGCGACTCTGGTATGCTGTAAACTGTTGTGAGTGGTATGAAGGGTAACCCAGGGCACTTTTTGGATGTGCGGTGATCTTTACCTTGTCCATGTCCGTTTCTAGCTCTTGCATCTGCCTGCTAATCGTCTGCCAGCGTGCCTCTAATCGTTGCCAGTTGTGATCTGGAGTGCCAACAGGGTGATGTGCTGCTACAGGGTAGCTGACATGTCCTCCATGGCTGGGCGACTCGTCATATGCTGGCCTCGGTGATGAGACTGGCCTCATATGGGGGGGATAAAGAGGTTGATGTGGGTAGCTGAGCTCGAAGTCCTCCAGATGTCCGGGAATGCGCCGCACTCTGCTGGGACGGGGACTGAGCGGTGGCTGCCCATCATACAGCTCCCTGGATGTGGCCATAGCGCAGCTTGTATACCTCCGGCTCGAAGGACCACTTGTGAAATTATGAATAATTGATGCTGGTGTATACAAGTCTGGCCTAAATCTTCTGTCAGAAAGATTGCAGCAATCCAGGGGGTGTAGATATCCAAACTTTAATTGTTCACAGGAGTTATGGTGTTACAGGATGTTCGTTTGTTATGTTGTGGTTATCTAAGAAATATAAATAAACAGAGTAGATCAAATTAGTGAATGACAATATGAATCCTAATAGTTACATTACGATTTCCTGCTAGGAACAATACATATACATAAATGCTGGAACTGTCAAGCGCACATGTTTTAACACGTGATAATGGCGGCTTACAGGGGGATAACATTTTACATGCGGTAATGGCGGCTGACAGAGGCATAGTTATACACAGCTCACCACAATAGCACAAGACTGGAAATATACGTCGATCGTACATACCAAAAGTAATTATATCGACAGTCACAGCGGACAGAAAGTTAAACTACTGAACAGTTAACAGGCAGCCAGTCACACTTACGGCAAACAAGTACTGTACACAGTATATATACACACTACGCCGATTATTGTCTGTAAACTGTTATTTAGATGCAAACATTGATACAAACAGGTGCCTATGCCACAGTAACAATACTCACAGTTTCATAAACGCACAACGTGGAACACACAACGACCCGTTCACTTGCTGAAAGTCTGTTTATAACTGGTCGCGCGCAGCACGTGACTAATGACGTTACAGTGAGGGGTGCGTCCGGTAACTATCTCGGGACTGTCTGGGGAGCGTCCCAAAGCAGGGAAGTTTGCACAAACACACTTACTTGGTCTCTGTAGCTAAAAGCAACTACCATTCAGCTAATAACATATTCAGCTTTTTCAGCTAAATTCAGACACACATGTTCACAGTTTACAGCATTCGCACGCATTTTATGCAGGAAATGCATTTTCTAGTTCTTCCCCTTAAACTTTTTCAAAATATTTCATACTTTTTGAAATATTCAGCTTTTTAAACTCTTTTTTTAACATTGAAGTCATTGGGAGATGCCTTCAAATCCACTTTTCCTACACTTTGCGCCAAATGCATCTCCTTCCACATAATTTCAGCCAGATACTTCATTCCAACTTTCAAATGATCACAATACCTTCAGCTATAAAACTTGTATAAAAGATTTGATATCTTTTCAACTTTTTGAGATATTGAATTCAGTTTGGAGCTTGGTAGAGAGGCCTTTTCCAGATCTTAACATTACAGTGGATGGAGCAGCTCGTTAACTCTAGAGTGCTTTGATCTCAAAACAGAGTGCAGCAGTGCCTGAAATTCTCCCCCAAAAATGTTTTAAACTTGCCATAATTCCCAAACCCTACACTCCTCAGACATATCTCTTCATGAAAAACGTAGGAAAACCTCTCCTAGGTTGGAAAATAAAATAAAATAAGAACAAATATTAAACAAAATGCCTTTTGAGGGCATGAAGAGAGAAAAAGTCCAGCTAGCTCCCAATGGATTCCCATGTTAAATTGTTCTGGATCTTTCTTCAGAGCAGGTGGCAAAATTGTCAGATATAATCCTCAATGCATTCTTATGGGACTCAGTGCTGCAGTTGGTTGTCATGGTGTTGCTGGGCAGATTGGAGCCACACACACGTGAGTCACATCATCCAATCAGAGCAGACACCATGGAAACCTTTGATCTCTGGGTTTACACACACAGGTCTTTGTAAACATTCAATCACTACATTTAATATCTTTATTTAACTCCTTCAGCCTAATTTCAGCTGCAGGAACCATTCAAATATCAAACTATTCAGCCTTTTCAACACATGATGGGAAACTTTCAACTTTTTCAAAATATGTTACACTTTTTAAAATATTCAGCTTTTTAAAGTCTTTTTTTAACATGGAAGTTTTTGCAATACATTTGAGCTGTAACGTCAGTCAGTCAGTCAGTCAGTCAGTCTCTCTCTCTCTCTCTCTCTAAAAATGAAAAGCAGCTGATTTGAAAAAACAAACTCGAGAGACGGCTGAGGTGACCAGGGGCCTCATTTATAACGCCGTGCGTAGGATTCACGTGGGAAGGTTGCTTACGTAGTAGAAATCCAAAAAATAGGTACAGAAATGTTCCGACATTTTCCGATTCACCAAACATTGCGTACCGGCGAGGAAAGTGCGTACGGCACTTCCTACGCCGGTTTCCCTTTATAAATCACAATCGACTCGAAATGCGGTGCAGCTTTTGCGGGCTCCACGTAACGCCCATATTTGCCTATAAATAGTTAAAGAAACGCCCATTCATTCATTCATTTTGACTGACTTTATGAAGAAGATCGCAGGAAATGACGACAGAACAGCTAAAAAATACATCTCACACCGTGTCAGATTTTGGTTATTTTGGGGAGGTCGAGATAAATCATATTGTTTGGTGGATGCAGTTTGAACCAGAGTAGCAGCATGGAGGTCGGATCGTCACCAAAATAAATAAGTGGTCCGAAGAAGGTTAATGATAAAAAAAAATACACATAGCCTTCCTCAGGCAGCAACTCTATATCCACCTATACGTTCCCTTCTGCGCTAGGGGAATCAACACAACCAGAATGGGATTGGTAAAAGTTATAAGCTGTTTTATTGCACAACCGGTGAACAAAATGGCGGGCAAGCAGCCTGAAACACACAAATTGCCACAAACACTGGTTTAAATAACAAACAATAGAGGCCACAAGGGCGCAAGTTTAAAGGGGCAACCAAACTAAGGGAGGACTCTAAAAAGTGAGTCTAAACGCATACAGGGAAACTAAATACTCACACACTAAATAAAGAAGGAAACAAAACCTCACTGTAAAAATGGTACAACTAGCAAAGGAAGGCTGTAGAAAACACAGCTAGGACAACAGTCAAACAATACTAAACTAACCTAAGCACATCTAATCAAACTAATCTAAGCACATCTAATCACAATAACACGGTCCACACAAGTTAACCCCCAGAATGAAGAGCAAATAGCGAGAGGCATCTGTTCACTCAACAGAGCCTCCAGAGTAATGATTGTCCCCAGCTTTGTAGTCCTCTCCAGCAGGTGTGCGCTGGGCTTGCACAGGGATTGGAGAACGTCGGGCCCGGCGTGCTCCAATCAGTGTCCTCGGAAGTGGACCAGGAGATGACAGCCAATGATGTTGGGGCAACCACACAGCTCATTTACATAATCACACAGCTGCAGACAATCCCAAACAGGTTACCGAGCAGGCAGAAACAGCAGCCGTAACACCACCAGTTAAAGGAAATACAACTAATGTGTTGTGTTATATTAGCTGTACAATTGACCACATATGGTGTTCTTAGCTTCCATACCTCCTGTGTTTTACGAGCGACTTATCAAGTCTTAGCAAACGTGATTAAACGTGAAAGTATATAAAACATGCTCGTATCAACAACCTATAGAAATGCAAAACGGCGTCAGTTTAGACGTAATTCTGTCCTCCTGCTTACCGCATCAATTATGAGAAAACATTTCATAACATTAACACAACATATTCGAGGTGGTTTTAAATAACATATCCGTATTTATTTATTTATCCAAGTTATGTTTTTGTGTGCACTGAGGAGTCGCAAACAGGCGTTTGTTTAATAATTGTAAGATTGGCTTTAATCAATGTTTGAAAATGAATTCTTCATAGCCTATATGATAAATGAGAGGTAACATTTTATTTATGGTATTATTTCCACACATTTCTCTCCATTCTTCCTTCTGCCAACAGCGTCGCAGTTTCTCGTCTCTCCCGTTGTTGTGCTTAGTGCGTACGCATGGGTTAGAGTTTGCGTGGAGGACCGCACATTTTCCCGTCAAGTTAGAATTTTATAAATCGCAAACATTGCGTAGAAACTGGCATACGCCATTTTTTGAGCTTATATCTCTTTTATAAATGAGGCCCCAGATCTTTTTGGTGTGAACGCAAAATCCCAGGAACTATTGGAACTATTCCTTATTATACATCCATGATTGAAGCCCTGTTCGCGGGGACGCGCAAATCAATCAATCAATCAATAAATGTTTATTTATATAGCCCAATATCACAAATGTTACATTTGTCTCAGTGGACTTTACAGTTTGTACAAAATATCAGTATGACAATACGACACCCTCTGTCCTTAGACCCTCACATCGTACAAGGAAAAACTTCCGAAGAAAACCCACAGTTTAAAGGGAAAAATGGGAGAAACCTCAGGGAGAGCAACAGAGGAGGGATCCCTCTCCCAGGACGGACAGACGTGCAATAGATGCCGTGTGTAAATTGAAAAGATAATACATTTGCAACATAGGTAGTCCAAATGTTTGGAAATGCATGTGTGTATAATAGGAAGATGAATCCACGAGGATATCCATCCAGGACCTATGATCCAGGACCACAGCCACGACTCAAGATCCAGGACAGAGGAGCGCAGGATCATCCATGACTCCGGATCCCGGCGTATACAGACACCAAAAAGAAAGACATTTGGGGAAGCTGGGTTAATCGGAACATGAGAGTACACAGGTATAGACAGAGAGAAGGAAGAAGTAAGATGTCCCCCGACAAACTAAGCCTATATCAGCAAAACTAGGGGCTGAATCTAATCAGCCCTAACTATAAGCTTTATCAAAAAGGAAGGTCTTAAGCGCACTCTTAAAAACGGATAGGGTGTCTGCCGCCCGAACACAAACTGGAAGCTGATTCCACAAATGTGGAGCTTGATAAGAAAAGGCTCTGGCTCCCATTGTACTTTTAGAGACTCTAGGAACAACCAACAACCCTGCATTCTTGGAACGCAATGCCCTAGTAGGACAGTAGGGTATAATGAGTTCTTTAAGGTAAGATGGCGCCTGCCCATTAAGGGCTTTGTAGGCGAGAAGAAGAATTTTAAATGCTATCCTGTGTTCTATAGGGAGCCAGTGTAAGGCAGCCAGAACAGGAGTAATGTGGTCAAAGGTGACGTCATCGCCTGTATTGAGCGTTCGCCGTTTTTTCACCCTTTTCAGAGCTTTTTTCTCTCTTTTGAATGATATATCAGATTAAACACCAAACGGCTGAATAAATAATGTGCATATAATTGCGAGGAGGCTCGTTTTAAGGACACGTTTTTCAGATCTGTCACAATCTTCGCATTGGAATAAACTTCCGTTTTTGAGTGTATAGTCCCACTCTGTTATATTCCTCCTTCCTACAGAACAGACAATGACAGGATAATATGTGATTTGTCAATAGTCCTATTTCTTAAAACCTTCTCTGTTGTTTAAGTGTCTGATAACCACGAATAGTAATCAATGATATAACAGTAATTATATCACATGATCATGTCAGACACTGTGTTATTTTCAATCAAGCCTAAAAGATAATGTGTTCAAACTGGCTTCACTCACTTGAATTGCTCCTTTGAATATCATTTTTATATATCCCTACTCAACACATGTTTGTATTGTAATGCCACTCATATTTTTTTTAATTGTATTTTAAGGTGACATTGAATGCTTTGAAAGGTGCCCTAAAATAAAGTGTATTATTGGTGTCAATAGGGAAGATCTGCACTGTTCACATAACATGTTCAGAGCAGGTATTTCTCCTGCCGGATTTGGAACCCCCCCTATATCTTTCTCCAGGATAGTCACAACTTCACCAAAATCACACTGGTGCTTGCTGTTCCCCTCTAGTTTATGCTCACAAAAGCATTTCACTCTGGGCCCAGC